AGAGAGAGAGAGAGAGAGAGAGAGAACGTATTGTCCGCTCTTTGTGTCATTCATGGTTGCAATCCTTTGTTATCCCTTTACAAAAAAAAATTTCGAAAGCGCAATGTCTCTCCGGAGTCTCAAGGACGGTGCCTCCAATGTCCTGGGGAGCGACATCCGGACCCTCGCCGACACCTGCGTACTAGTTTCTACCGGTCATCCATTTTCCACTACTCACTTTCCATCCGCCACCCCATTTTCACCCACCAATCATTTCCCACCCACTACCCCATTTCCACCCACCACCCCTTTTCCACCCGCCACCCGTTTTCCATCTGCCGGTCATTTTCCACCCACCACCCACTTCGTGTGACCCTCGGACCCTAACTTTGAGGCCCTGCACCCCAGGGGGTCCCCAGCGCGCCGACGTTCTCTTCAAAAGGCATGCCGCCGAGGGAGGAAGGGGGGACGTGAACGTGCACTTTCTGGAAAAAAGAGGGAGAGGGGGGAATTCCTGGAAAAAATTCGTCAATCTCGGCCACTTACTACTATTGACCACCGGGAAAGTGGCGGTGGACGTGGTCAAATACAGACATGGTCGCCAAACTTCGTATTTTTAAGTTTCAGACCATTCTCCATCATTTCCAATCAAAATCAGAGAAAATGAAAATCGAAAGATTGCAATACTTCCATTCGGAAGCAATAGGGTGATTACAAAGATTTTTATGGAAAAATGGAAAAACCGGAATATCTCTTGAACTTTCGTGAGTGGGTATACATGTTTTGATTGATGCAGATAGAAGACATGAAAGTGTATATTTTGAAGAAAAAAAAAGCGAAATCGGTTGCGTAGTTTTTACGCTATTGCACGTAGAATATTATCAGAAAAAGTCAAATATCTCGGGAGCTACTTGTGCGATTGAGACCATCTTCAATACGAAACATTGTTATCATGGAAGGAAAATTTTGTCCAAATTTCAAGTCGATATCTCAATTTTTATACAAGCTAGACTGTTTACAAGGATTTTTATGGAAAAACTGAAAAACTGGAATATCATTCTACATCATTTCCAATAAAAATTAGAGAATGTGAAAAATGGACGATTACAATGCTTCCATTCGGAAGCAAAAAAACAATCCCTAATAACGCCTAAAGTAAATCATATGTCTTCTATTGGATAATATCGGTCGCCTGCTTGTTTAGTTTTGAAAAAACCGTTTCCAAAAACATATAAAAATGCAGATTTTTTAAAATTCAACTATTTCTTCTTTCAGAAAATGATGGCATTGAATTTTTGTTGACAGTAGAAGGCATTCTGACAGGACTGCAATCTGACTGAATTTTCATACAAATTGTCTCAGCGGTTGTTCCATTATTGAGATAAAACTTTCACAATTTAATGTACAAGTTTTTCAAAGTAATTACCCCGTCGAATTAAACAAATGAGACGACACGAACAAAATCCGCCGTTCGCTTTCAAGAGGGTCAGTGAGGGTTTTACCGGTATGACATGGAATATGTAAAACAACCCACAAAAGTATAATCAATTCTCCACTGCACCACATTCCAAAAATCAAATGAAAAAAAAATTACAGTGTTCTCACGTGTTCCTTCCCAGGCCTCAGCAGGATGAGCTCTCTGATCTCGTACGATTTTCCAGTATAAATTGAAGTGATGTGTTGTTCAACAGAAATCGATCCCTCCGTCAGATAAATCAAGGAAATGGCTCCTCGATATTTATCGTACCAGCTGTCGAAGATGAGTCCTCGGAAGGATTTTTCCCTGTCGACCTTGGGGGGAGGAATTCTCTCTACCACAGCCTCCAGTATCTTCTCCACATTGATACCCAGTTTAGCAGAAATCTTGATCACATCTTCTTCATTAATATCAAACAAAGCATTTAATTCCTTAACAACTCTCTCCGGATTTGCATTCTTCAAATCAATCTTGTTGATCGCTGGAATTATCACTAAATCTTTCCCAAAGGCTAGATAAAAGTTCGCGACAGTCTGTGCTTGGACTCCATCATTGGCGTCCACAACTAGAATAACACCCTGACAGGCTGACAGAGACCTGTGAACTTCACTAGCGAAGTCTACATGCCCTGGAGTGTCGATCAAATTCAACATGTACTCTTCCTCTTTGTAAGTATATTTTAAGGAGACAGTTTGGGCTTTGACTGTTATTCCTCGCTCCTTTTCCACCTGGAGTTTGTCGAGCACCTGAGCCCCAGAGTTGGTTCTGATCGCCCCTGTTATCTCCAGGAGACGATCAGCTAAGGTACTTTTACCATGGTCTACGTGAGCAATTATACTGAAATTTCGGATCCTGTCAACAGGGAGTTTGTACTCTTTCGGGTCGGTTGAGTCGGTGGAGTAATATTTTTGGAAGATTATCCCTCGGCCAGATCTAGAATTAATTATATGACATTTTTAATTTCCATTCAAACGTGTAATTTCTTGCTAATCGATCGTTCGGCCATAATATGGCTTAACATTCACAGGGTATTCCATTTAAAGTGTACGGTCAAATAACTCTTGAAAGAGGGCAGCAATCGAAAAAACTTTCAAATGAAAGTGATAGAGATGGAAGGGGGACAACTGATACAAAGTACATTTCGAGCATAAGTGTTTATGCTCTCATGATGCAAGTTATGCTGCATTTGTTTCAAATGACAACCAACATTTTCACTTCCCCAAAAATATTCCTCTTGATGAGATTAATTCAGCCATACTGTATGTTATGTCAATTTACCCATCTTCCGACGAAAAGGGTGGATGACAAAATCTCCGACGGCCAAAATCTCCGGCGGTCAAAATCTCCGGAATTAGGTATAGTCGGTGGAAAGTGACTGGTAGCGCCGCCAGTGACAGAAAAAAGTGTTATGTTGTGGGGTAAAGACGATTGACTAAAGTAGAGGCTCATTTCTGTAGGAGCAGGTGATCCCAAGCTGAAATAGTAAGTGCCCCATGGGAGGGATGGCGCCACGGTCGATTTAGGACTCTGGGCGAGCTGGATGTGCCGGTAACTCGTCAGTAGCTGTCCCGCTGTCACCAGGGTTGCCAGTTTGGGCGACTTATCGCCGATTGGGCGATTTTGAATGTGCCTTTGGCGCCTTATCATGACAGTTTGCGACTTGGCGATAATTTGGCGATTTTTGAATTTTGGAAACAAAAAAAAACTGTAAAATGAAGAAAGATATTCCCTGGTCATTCGAACCTAATTGCATATATTTTCGATTTTTGGAGAGTGATTAATAGAGGCACGATGTAGCCACATGAACGTGTATGCCATACATACACCGCCTCACAGAGCTGTCAGAAGTTTTTCTACAATCTCGTAATTGCCCAGATATCACCGTGATAGAACAGTACATTAGCAACACGTCTTATTCAACTTACTATTTGCTCATATTAACCACCCGTACAGACACTATACATTGGCACCTTTTGTCGCCTCGGTAGAGAATTTCGATTACTGGCGGTCTACGAGTATTCTACTGGGAGAGGTCAAAGACAACACACGTGTTGAAAACATTTCGTGCAGTGAAATGGGCAAAACTACATGGGCAAAATACAAACGACACTACAAATCAGATTGGGAGCAAGAGCGTTGGTCTCAAGGTACGATCTCCTTTTCTATCTTATTCATTTTCCTCGTGATATATGATTAATAATCTTCGTTCTCGTTCTCATTCACCGCATGTTTTTTGTTTAGGGTGGCTAACGTCGATTCAAAATGCACCAATGGCATGCCAAAACACAGTTAACGATGCCTGGTGCATTTACTGCAAAGTGTCCTTACGTAGTCATCGCGACGATCTAAAAAGACATTCGACCACAAAAAAACATTTGAAAAATAAATATAGCCTTCAGTTACCTCGAACACAAACAACGCTGAAATACGGTATGACTCAACACCATTGATTCTCTCGAATTATCGAGTAAAACGTTGTTTACATTCCTCATTTATTTTGAATTGAATTTTATAGCTATAATACCTGAGAATCAATAACAGAAGGTGACTGATATCAAGATTGCTATGTATGTAGCGAAGCACACCGCTATAAATGCTGTGGATCATTTGTGTGACCTAGTCCAGCCGTTAGGAAAAGGCAGTGTTTTGGAGAATTTGCGACTCCATCGTACCAAATGCACCAGCATCATCAAACACGTAATTTCACCCTCGATTTTGAAGGATCTTGTCGAGAATATCGGTAACAAACCATATTCCCTCATTCTCGACGAGTCGACAGATGTGTCATGTATGAAATTCATGTGCATTTGCGTACGTTATTTCAACATAACAAAAGGGGCGATTATGACCGATTGTCTCGAAATTTTTCGTGTCGAAGAAGTCGATGCCGAAAGTCTCTACAATGGTTTGAAGAATCATCTCAAAGGAATAGGTTTATCTATTAAGAATATGGTTGCGATAGGTACCGATGGCGCGAGTAATTTGTGTGGTACGAAAAATTCACTATTTACTCGATTAAGAAGTGAAATTCCAAAGTTGATTCTAATCAAATGCATCTGTCATTCAACATATCTGTGTTTTTCTAAGGCAGCAGAAGAAATCCCTAGCTCCGTGGAATTTTTAATTCGAGAGTTATACAACTGGTTTAGCAATAGTCCACTACGAATTACTAAATATCGTCGAATTTTCGATGTCCTAAATACAGGTATTGATGCCAATAAATGGCTGAAATTGATTCAACTATCGAATACACGGTGGCTTTCGATCAGTGGTGCTGTTGAGAGAGTACTTGGTCAATGGGTCGAATTAAAGCTAAATTTTGAAATTGCAGCAAATACTAAAAAAAATTATACTGCAAGACAATTACATTCGATGCTTCAAGACGATGTCAATCGTTTATACCTAGTATTTTTGCAACCTATTCTTCGTGAGATGCAGCGCCTCAATATAATTTTTCAAACCGATAAGGTCGATGTAGGCTCGGCTTCGGAATCCATGTACCTCACATTTCTTACTTTCGCTGCCAAAATATTGAAACCTGCGTTCATGATTCAAGTTACTGAAGAGGTTCTACTTCTCAAACAAGTATGCGACGCGTTGAAAAATGAGTTAGCTTTTTGATCTGTTGAGGCGGTGGACTTTGGGCATCAATTTACGCAAGAATTATCGAAATGCCAGATTGATTCCAATCGGTTAATGGAATTGAAACAAAGATGGTTCAATTTCTTGAAGATTCTATTAGAACAAATGGCACAAAGGCTACCCGAGAAAATTGATATTTTTTAACAGTATAAATTCTTCAGTCCATCAATGTGTTTAAATAGTAATAGGCTTAAATTCGCCGAAGTTTTTGAAATATTGAAAAACTTCATTGATCCAGAAGTTGATGAGTCACTGTATGAGTCACAATGGGATAAGCTCCCTCTGATTGATTGGAAATTTTTGTTTCCTGGCAAGCAAATACCATCAAATATCGTTGATTTCTGGCCGAAAGTTTATGCATTTCATAATGCCTCGGGAAATTTTTTCTTCAAAGAATTGGCTGCACCGGTAATTCAGATGTTAATTGTACCAACAAGTAATGCTTGCGTTGAAAGGGTATTTTCTCTAATGAACTTAACAAAAACGAAAACTAGGAATAAGATGAATATGGAACTTTGGGAGTCTCTGTTGAGGATAAAGGTACATTTTCAAGTTTTTAGTGAGTGCTGTTCGTTATTTGAACCGTCTCCTGCTATGGTCAGACTTTTTAATACTAAAAATATGTACAATGCGAAAACTACAAGTGACGAAATGGAACAAATCGAAGAAGTGTTCGGACTTTTTACTGAAGTCTCATAGTCGAGAAGAATCGGATTTATTATTCACGTTCTATATATATATATATAAGGTTTATAAGATGTCATCTTTTTTTTTGCGCGGTCTATCATTGAATATCCCTCTATTATATGTCGATAACTTTAGTAATATTTTAAGCAAAGTTATTTATAGACTGATATGTTTCAAAAGATTTATAAAATGTTTTCGATTTACTTTGTTATATTATATGCTGAAGACTAAGTATGGGATTTTAAGAAGAACGATGGGTCGAGTCTCATCAAAAATGACAATTTTTTTTTTCTTGTAATTGTAATTTGTTCATCACAACGTTCATCACAAAGATGTTCCTCGATTGTGCTAACTGAATAAAATTATTTTATTACATTGAACATACATCTATATTATTTACATTGGACTGGAAAGATATAATATATGGTAGCAAAGGTTTGAATGGGGGAAAAAAAGGTGGCGATTTTTGGGCGACACTAGCGTAGACTAGTGGCGCTTTTGGCGGTATGGCGTGGGATTGTTACGTAGGTAACTAAACTCGTGTAGAGTCCCCACAGTAGCTGCCATTTTTACTAAAACTAGCGGAAAATTTGAACGAGAGAACTAATTAAGAAATAAGATTAAGATAAGGAAAATGTAATATGTAAAATCGCTTAATATTTGTAAATTATATTTTTGTCCTTTCTTATGGGTTTTTTGATTATATAGAGTTCTGGGAAAATCCAAACGTTCATGAGGCTCCTTTTTCTAAATATTCCCAACAGCTGCATTTTTCAGACCTTTTATCTTTTCCCCAAGTATTCAATATATTGTTGTTTTCCATTCCCAAACGCTATAAAATAAATCCAGTTTTTCATCAAGAGTTTTCTTTTCTCTTTCGAATCCAAAGACCACTTACGAGGTACCCGTCTAGACCCTGGGACAATTCCCAGTCTTGTTAATAACTAGATGTTCAAATAATTTCCTCGAGAATTTTATTTTCTTTTCGCGTCGCTTCTGTCTATCGTAAAGCCTATTCTTTGGAAAATATTCCAGTACGAGTTTTATTTCGTCTTTACATTTTTCTCTGTTAATCCGTGTCCGTCATAAAATTTCACTGGTTTTATTAGGGTTACAAATTTCCACTCGTGGGGAATCAGACCCTCAATAACTACCACTCGGGACAGCGCCAAAGCGTCGGGGGCCTCATTACCTGTAATTGGCATCACCCTTCAGTGGGCCCTACTACTACTACTACTACTACTACTCTACTACTACTCTCCCCACTACTACTCTCACTACTACTACCCTACTACTACTACCCTACTACTACTCTCACTAGTCACCGCCCTTCATGAAGACCCAAAATTTGCTTTACTATGATTTGTTGAACCCCCTCTACTCGAGAAGATGTTGGCACCTCATGAATGTTTGATTGAACCCCAAAAAGGGAAAACTTATAATTTTTTGGCACTTCATTCTCAAGTTTGAAAGAATAAAGATCTCTTAAAATTACAAGTCTCGTGTAAACTTTAACTCTTGTGAGTTCTCAAGAACAAATATTTAAAATAAAAATATCCAAGTGTTCAAACATAAAAAAAAGTGGTGTCCACGAATATTTTCGAATAAACTAAATTGTGTGTGATTAATATTGTGTGTGGTCATTTACTCAATTTTCCCGCAATTAGAGCAGAGTGCTTCAGCACTCCACGGGCAACCGAGTCCATTCCCTCAACTAAAATCTAGGGAGCCTGAAAAGGTACGCAACAGGATCTTGGGCGACTAGAGCTCTCAAAAACCTGGCAACCCTGGCTGTCACAGGGACAAGTTCAAGGAGGGATCTTTGTTCTCCTTGTGCTTAATGTTTTTTTCATGTTTTTCAGCGATTATAAATAATAAATAAGGTCTAAATACATAATTCAAAATTGAATAATCATAAAAAACGTTTATTAAAAATGTTTTTCCGTATGTAGATACAAGGGTTGAGATGAGGGATATAAAATATACCGCGTGTTTTTTTTATGTATATTTTTCAGTAATCAACTATGAAATAATAAGAAATTTTTAGCGTCAAAAATAGATCAAACAAAAAGAAAACTAACACTAATATATATATTTTCATGGACGAATTAAATTTATCAGGATTTCTTATATTCATGTTTTTTTTTATTCCTTTTTTCCACTTCCTAAGTTATTAATTACATCAGGAGAAAATTGAGAAATGAAAGTTTAATTAAAAACAATGAAAATTACTTGCGCAATGGGACAAACAGATTCAATAAGGCTTCATTGGCTCTAATGAATATGTATCAGAAAAGGTGATATAAGAATAATATAATGCACCATCGTGCCCTAGCGTCTCAGATCCTCATGCTGGAGTTGTTGGTTCGATTCTCCGACAATCTAATTTTTTTTCCGGAATATTTCCTGAAAACAATAACATTATTTAAGAAGAAGAAAAGAGCGAAGCGATAATCAATCGTTTATTTTCTTACTGAGTTTTATAAGTTATAAATATCACTCAGCGCCATTAAAATTACATTTCGTACAAAATTATTACTTTTTTGAACATTCGTTATTTACAAATACATAATTGAAGTGATTTTCTTCAATTATGCTTCCGGAGACCTAATTTTTTTAGGCATGAAATAGATTTTCGGTAAAATTCTGATTATTAATAAATTTATTACGATTCCGAACAAATCCTTTTCATGATGGAAAATTGATTGTCTGTAAATTATTTCTTAAATTCGAATTCTAATTCTTTCTAATTCTTTTTCAAAGTGTTTTCTAGCAGTTCAATATTGAGATGCAAATATAAACCTGCAAATTTTAAATAATAAAAACAATGTGAAAAGTTCGGAAATTTACTGTCAAATGGGGCTCAAATGGATGCTCTGAGCATTCAAAAAATGCTCAGAAAAACATACCGCACCATTTATAATGGCGCGGAGTGCTTAATTTGCTTCCGGAAAATTAGGTTTCCGGAAGCATAATTGAAGAAAATCACTTCAATTATGTATTTGTAAATAACGAATGTTCAAAAAAGTAATAATTTTGTACGAAATGTAATTTTAATGGCGCGGAGTGATATTTATAACTTATAAAACTCAGTAACAAAATACACGATTGATTATTGTTTCGCTCTTTTCTTCTTTTTAAATAATGTTATTGTTTTCAGAAAATATTCCGGAAAAAAAATTCCGGAAAAATGGATGCTCAGAGCATCCATTTGAGCCCAATTTGACTGTAAATTCCGAACTTTTCTCATTGTTTTTATTATTTAAACTTTGCAGATTTATATTTGAATCTCAATATTAAACTGCTAGAAGACACTTTGAAAAAGAATTAGAAAGAATTAGAATTCGAATTTAAGAAATAATTTACAGACAATCAATTTTCCTCAGAGCATCGATTTGAGCCCCATTTGACTGTAAATTTCCGAACTTTTCACATTGTTTTTATTATTTAAACTTTGCAGGTTTATATTTGAATCTCAATATTGAGCTGCTAGCAAACAATTTGAAAAAAAATT